CTTTCACCATTAACTAAGTTAGACTCTCACTGGATTAAAGACTTAAACTTAAGACATGAAACCATAAAAATTCTAGAAGAAAGCGTAGGGAAAACACTTTCCCAGCTATTTTCTAGACGCGGGGGTCTCTCTCTGGCTCCGACTGGTCTGGAACCTGTGAGCTCAGGCAATCCACCTCACTTGGCCTCCCAAGTGCTAGGATTACAGGCGTGAGCCACCGTGCCTGGCCTGGGCTTTTAATTGAATAGGGAAGATAAATACTAAAAGAACTTAAATGTATCTTAAAAGTGCTTAGAGAGGTAAAGAAAGGGCTAGGGAATTCAAAGGGAGGGAGAAATTTCAGTGAGGTTGGTAAGGGATAAGGAAAAGGTTAATGGAAAGGTGACATTTGAGATAGGCCTTGTGGATTGATAGGATACACAACAGAAAGGATGAGGCCTGATGGCTGAGACAGCATTCCAAGTATATAGAACAGACTTGGAGGCAGAGACACATAGGTGTATTCTAGAGAGCTCAATGGTCAACTTTACCTGGATTGTTGGCTTCCAGAAGTTCATCTGCTGAGCAGTGCTGATCCCAGGTGAGGTTTTCACCAACCTTTGCCTTTAAAAAAAGTTAAGTACAGCATACTTAAATATATTGCTACATAGTTATTAACTGTCCTTTCTGGGCCAGACTGTACTGTACCCTGAAACTATTAGTCCTCTACTTTTTGTTTTTAATACCTGAATGTCCTTTTACAAAGGAAATGGTGTTGGTTGATGGTGGATTTTTTTTTTAAATGAAATAATTTACTTGGCATAAGAAAAAGGTAGCAACTATATGTTTTTGCCTAGATTTTGTTTTGAAATTTTACTAGGCCATGACATCCAAAAGTCTGGAGCCATATTGTGGAGGGCTTTGAATGTCAGTGTCGAGAATGTAACTGAATTTGGCAGGCAGTGAAGAGGGTCACTGGAAGTTGTGAGCAGGAGAGCAAGCTGTTCCTTAGGAAGGTGCCCCTGCTAGTCTGTTAGTTTCTGGAAGGGAAAGAAGGGAGGTGAGCAGACCAATTAGACTATTGCAGAGTCTGTGGAAAAGGAAAAAGGCTTTGAATTGTTTTTTGGCAAGGAGCCTAAAAAAAATAAGGCAGATATAAGAGGGAGTGTAGAGATAAAACCTAAAAGGCAGCAAAAAAAAAAAGTTTTAAAAATTATTTCTTATCTTTGGAGAAACCCGGATTAAGGGCACATAAGAACTATCTGTATTTATTTATCTATTTATTTATTTTTTGAGACAAGAGGTCTCACTCTTTTGCCCTGGGAAGAGTGCTGTGGTTTCATTATAGTTCCCAGCACCCTCAAATCTTGGGCTCAGGCAATCCTCTTGCCTCAGCCTCCCGGGTAACTGGGATTACAGGCACCAGTCTTGACGCCTGGTTATTTTTTCTTTTTCTTTTTCTTTTTTTTTTTTTTTAGTAAAGACAGAGTCTGGCTCTTGCTCAGGCTGGTTTTGAACTCCAGAGCTCAAGTAATCCATCCACCTCAGCTTCCCAGAGTGCTAGGATTATAGGCATGAGCCACCATGTCTGGCCCTGTCTGTATTCTTGCAACTTCCTGTGAGTTTTAAAGTATTTCAAAAAAGGCTATGTTAACCAGTTTGATGTAAGCGTTCTAAATTATATATAAAATCAGGACATTGTACTCCATAAATGCATTAATGTACACGGTTATGATTTAATAAAAAAAGGAAATATAAAAAGGAAAAGATACCAGGTGTGTTGGTATGTGCCTATAGTCCCAGCTATTCAGGAAACTGAGGTGGGAGAATCACTTGAGGCCAGGAGATCAGGGCTGCAGTGCACTATGATTCCACCTGTGAACAGCCACTACATTCCAGCCTTGGGCAACATAGCAAGACCCAGTCACAGAAAAAAAAAGAGATAAAGAAAAGGTGACTTCTTCAAGGTTACAAGCTCAAATAGGACTGAGGCCACCTTGGTGACTAACTGTGAAAGCTGACAACACAGATACAGTCCTTAGCGGGCAGTGGCCATGCAGCTTCATTCCGTTGTTGCTACATGGGAATGTGGGCCAGTGTTAAAAAATGTTGTAAATTTTCAATAGTAGCCAGAAATCTAGAATCTGGATTTTTTTGTGTGTGAAATCTCAGTGTACACAATGAATTAAAAAACATTAGCACCATGTAGGCCAAACAAAACACATCTGTGAAAAATCTTAGTTCTATGGACTCCTGCTGTTAGTTATCCCTCTTGTTTAGGTGAAAGTTTGGGAGTTGAGAGGTAATTGGTGCTTGCATATTGCAGCTTCAACCATAAATTTATTTATTTTTATTTTTGAGACAGAATCTCTTTTGCCCCAGGCTAGCATGCAGTGGCCTTGGCTTAGCTCATAGCAACCTCAGACTCCTGGGTTTGAGAGATCCTTGTGCCTCAGATTCCAAGTATGTGGGACTACAGGTGACCACCATGACTCATATCTAGTATTTCTATTTTTAGTAGAAAAAGGGTCTCACTCTTGCTCAGGCTGGTCTTGAACTCCTGAGCTCAAGGGACCCTCCTACCTCAGCCTCCCGGGGTGCTAGGATTACAGGAATGCGCCATCTTGCCCAGTCTTCAACAATACATTTAAATCTGTTACAGGTTTACACTGAAAATGATGTATCTCAAAGGTCACAGTAAATAATACTTATCCTCAGTAGCATGATTAGAGGTAAAGTGGCATGCTTAAGAATTCCTTCCCTTATATGGAAACTTGTTTATGCTCAGAAGACTAAGGGGGTGTGTGTGTGTGTGAATTTCTAGGTCTGCACAGCTGTCTTCACCAAGAAGCCATTTACATAAATGGCATTGTTAAGTATTTGAAATCTTATTTTTTTAACTTTTGTAAAGGATTTTATATAACCAGTGTTTTCTTTTTTCTTCTTAGTGATAATTTACAGGTGTTCGAACCTGACACAGTAAGAATGAGAAGAAACAGTAGAGTACTGATGAGTGAACAATGTCTGGTAAGGAAATGCTTATGGTAGTCTCCCTGTCTAAGACTTGTGGTTATTAGTCTTAACCAGGTGGTTCTCAAAGTGCAGTGTGCATATGGAAGGCTTATTAAAAGACAGATGGTTGACTAGGTCTCACTCTCAGAGTTTCTGATTCAGTAGATCTGGGGTAGAGCTTGAAAATTTGCATTCCTAACAAGTTCCCACATTGAGAAACACTACTCTAAACATTACCGAAGGAAAAATAAACACATCAACTATAGCTATGATTGCTTTGCTGCAGCTGCAACAGAATTAATTTTTAAATCCCATATGGATTTAACATTGAGATTTTATGTATAAGACCATCTGGCTTCCAATTTTTTAAAGAACATTCAATTTTGAGAGGAAAATTTGTAGATGCTCCTAAAAGTTTTCAGGCTTTTAGTTAGATCTTTATCTCAGATTTATCTTGAATTGTAAATAAAATTTGCTTTTCATGGTTTTATAATGCAGTTTCTAAATTATAGCATTTTCCTGCTAATTATCCTGTAAACATAGGGAATGTACTTGCAGATCAGTAAACCAAAGTGAATAAATCATTTATTATATGATTGTTTATTATGAAATTCACATAACAGTCCATTAACTATTTTTTTTTTTTTTGGCAGCAGTTTTTTTTGGCCAGGGCCGGGTTTGAACCCACCACCTCCAGTATATGGGGCTGGAGCCCTATTCCTTGAGCCACAGGTGCCACCCTCAATTAACTATTTTAAAGCATACAATTCAGTGGCACTTAGCATATTCACAATGTTGTTCATTGTAGTCTCAAAAAGTGCACGACCTTGTCTTATTCCTTTATCATGTTAAGGAAGTTCCCTTCTGCTCCTACTTGCTAAGTAGTTTATAATCATGAAAGGGCATTGAATTGTTTCAGGTGCTTTTTCTGCATCTCTTGGAGTGATCGTGTGTTTTTACCCTTTTGTTCTATATGATGTATTACAATGATTTTCTCATGTTGAACCACCTTTGCATCTCTGTGATAAATCTTTTAGCATCTATATTCATAAGGGATCTTGATCTATTGTTTTCTTGTGGTATCTTTGCCGGCGTTTGGTATCAGGGTAATGTGGCCTCATGGAAGGTATAGGAAGTACTTCCTTCTCTTTTATTTTTGGAAGAATTTGAGTAGGATTGGTGTTGATTCTTCTTTAAATGTTTGGTAGAGTACCAGTGAAACCATCTGGTCCTGGACATTTCCTTGTTGGGAGGTTTTTGGTTATACAGGGTCTAGCTCTTATTATAGGTATGTTGAGATTTTCTATTTCTTCTTGAATTGGTTTAGTAATTTATGTGTTTCTAGGAATTTGTTCATTTCATTTAGATTATCTCATTTGTTGGCATATAATTCATAGATTTCTTTTATAATATGATTTTTAAAAAAAATTATAGAATTTATAGTACACACTTTAGTGAAATGTCATAATTTAGAACCAATTTTAAAATGTAGCCTCCTAATCTTAAATCTGGACATTTTCCTCTCTGTAGAATGATAGTCAGTGATTTTCAAAAGTGCATTAGTGTTATGATAGGAAAAATTAGAATCATTCATTAAGGGCAACAAATTAGGGTAATAAATTAGGTGGGAAATGGGAGGCAGTGGAGGCAAAAAGGACTCCTAGGTCTCTGGCTTGGGCAACTGATGAGATGGTGATTCCACAGAATAAGAAGAGGCCATTGGAAGAAGAAAAGCAGATTTAGAAAGCAAGATGAGTTTAACTTCAGACATGTTACATCTGAGGATCTCTGGGATCTCCAGTCCCAGAGAATATTGGATATACTAATTTGAAGCTCAGGAATGATATCTGGTCTAAAGATACCTATTTAGGAATTATCAGTAAAGCTGTGGGAAGGAATGGTATGACCTATAAAGAGATCTATAGAAGGAGCAGAGTCTGCAGGACAAAGCTTTAAAGATCACCAACACTTAAACATCAGTCAGAAGAGTCCAAGGACTAAAATGGAATGGTTGGAGAGGTGGGAGGGGTCTCAGAAGAGAGTGGTACTATGAAAAACCAAGGGAAAGTGGCAAGTCTTATTCTGTCAAGGAGATAAACAGACTGAAAAGTGCCCTTTGAGCTACTGAAACAGATTGTGCATGAATTTCTTATATTTGCAAGCAATTTCAGGTGAGAAGAGGGATGGATGAGATGAAGAAAGCCTGGACTGGGGCAGTGGCTGTGGCTCAAAGGAGTAGGGCGCTGGACCCGTATGCCAGAGGTGGCTGGTTCAAACCCAGTCCCGGCCAAAAACCGCAAAAAAAAAAAAAAGAAAGAAAGACTGGACTGGGTTGAAGAATGACTAAGAAATAAGGACCTATAAATGGCACTGCACATCTAAGCTCACTTATTTGGGGCAAGTTGCCCTTTCTATGCCTTAATTTCCTCATCTCTAAAATGAGAATGTAATAGTATCTGCTTTATAGGTTTGTTGTGATTACATTAATCAGTATAAAATATTCAGCACAGCACTGTCACATACTAAATGCTCAAAAAATATTAGATGTTTTCATTAGAAATAGTACATATAGGCAGCAACCATGTACCTGGCATTTCTTAAAACATAATATTCCTTAGGAATTCTAGGCTCTTAATTTGCATAAGGTTCAGTTTAATATAGTGCATATTTAAAATGAACCAACTTATATAACAGACTGTGTTTGGCAGAATTGAAGTCATTTTAACTTATCGAATGATGGAAATTTCAAGGCTTGTTGGTTTAGCTTACAGTAAAAGCACTATGCATATGTTTTAATTGTGTGAAAGTACCACTTCAGGTTATTGTAAGACTTACGTTGAGTATATACTTTCCTTTAGTATAGAAATGCTGAACTATCTAGGAGAATGACATGATGAATTAGAATGCTTTTAGCAGAAGCAACAAAATCCAATTAGAAGAGACTCAAACAATAAGGAACATTTATTATCTCAAATAATAAGAAGCCCTGAGGAAAGGAGTTTCCAGGGTTGGTTAATTCAGTGGCTGCCCTCATCAGAGACCCAGGTTCCTCCCATCTCTCCACTCTACCATCCTCAGAAGCCTTGCTAACCTATGTACCTACTAATTAGACCCAAGATTCAAAATCTGTGTATACCATGCTGTTATGTAGTATATTTACAAGTGTTGAGAAGGATCTGTGTGAATGTATTAGTAGTAGTTATCTGTGGAGATGAAATTAATAGGAAGAATTTTATTTTTTACTTTATGCATTTCTATACTAGTTGAATGATTTTTCACAAAGCATGAATAATACAGGCCTTTTCATTTCTAGCTGACATATTACAAGATAGAAGCATCATTCTTGCAAAAATGCAAGTATTGTTGAGGAATACCATAAATTATAAGTTTAAAGTTTCTAGCCCCTACTGGACTGTCCTCAAAATTGGTGTTGTAGGTACCTAAAGTAGTCAAATTCACAGAGACATAAAGTGGAATGGTGGTTGCCAGGGACTGGAAGGAGGAAGGAATGGGTGGTGTTGTTTAATGAGTACAGGGGTATGTAACCTGTGGTCCGTGGGTCACATGGGGATTATACGAGGATGGTTTTGTTTATCTGTGGTGTCAGATATTGCAAAAATTATGCATGGACCTCTTTTTAGCTCATTGGCTTTTGTTAGTGTTTGTGTGTTTAATGTGTGGCTCAAGACAAGTCTTCTTTGAACATGTAGCAGACAAGAAAAAAGTCTGTACACCCTGGTAGAGTTTCAGTTTTGCAAGATGAAGAGAGTTCTGCAGATTGGTTGTACAACAGTGTGAATGTATTAAACATTACTGAACTGTATGCTTTAAAGTGGTTATGATGATAATTTTTATTTGTGTTTTAGCACAATTTTTAAAATGATGCCTTTCGTGTATTTCAATACAGGTAAAACAATGTTTTAGAAAAAAAAAAATCACTGTAACAGAGGGCATGGATGAGCCGTAAGTTTCATTTAACACACAAATAAATAAAGATGCAAATTTTCCAAGCATTGTAAAAAAAACCTATTACCTCACAATTACTTTGTTTAATTAATCGTAAATATTTTTTCCACTACTCTCTGAAATCATTCCACCCCATTTCTGATGAGCAGAAACTGGAGGCTCTCTTGTGACTATTAGGACTGTGCCTCCCCCCCCCCCACTCACTCCTTTGCTTTATCTCCTCAGAACTCTAAGTTTGGCATGCCTATTCCTTGCTCTCCCACCAAGAATTCTCCTCTTGGCACCTCTGCTGAATCTGGGTGCAGCTGCATCACTTCTCCATCCCCACCCCCACCTATTGCAAAGGAAGCAGAAGAAATGTTTCATTTTCCTAACAGAAAAGGTTGTGCTTTTCTTGAACAATTCGTCTATTTTAATTTTATTCCTTCTGATTAGGTTTTGCTTTTCACATTGGCAGTCACGAACCTTAAATCCAGTGTATGGCCCATGCAATAGAGCTAGTATATAATACGTTTCTACATTCCCGGCCCTGCTTTATGTTCTGTCCATCTAGCATGTGTTTAGTTTATGTTAAGCACTGTTGTAAGCGACCTTAAATCATTTCTGGAACCAGGCAGGCACATTTATGAACATAGCAAACAACCCTTTGTTCAGGATTTTCTAAGTGTTTTATCTCCAGTACTAAAGTAGGAAATGGCATAAAATACTTGGGAAAGTAAAAAATAATTTTTAAAAAATTTAATATCTTTACATTGCTAGTTTTCTGTGTTCTCTCTTTTAAATACTAAGCTTGGTATTTCCTCCTATCTTAGTTCCGTCACTGGAGAAAATTCTTAGGGATCAGCTTCACCCAGCACCCACCTCTATCTATCCCTCCTGCTTGCTCACACCATGACATTATTCTCTCCAAGGACTACTTCCCTCCAAGGACAATTTTTCTCTAGAGTGTGAGAGAAAGGCTCGGTGAGAAATTTACACAAAATCTCTAGTAAGGTTTATTGACATCTCAGGAAACTCCTTATTTCTATTTTAATACTTTGTTTCATATA